AGTGTGTATTTCACACTACTCAAGTTGATTTTTTAGGATACATCATTTCAAATGATGGTCTCATGATGGATTCTAAGAAAGTCCACACAATCATGGATTGGAAGATTCCAAGGACAGTAAGAGATGTCCAATGTTTCTTGGGATTTGTCAATTACTATCGGATCTTCATCAAAGATTTCTCACGAGTTGCAGTTCTACTTACACGCTTGACTAGTAAAGATAAATTCCAATGGAATCAAGAAGCAGAAGCAGCATTTGAAGCCTTGAAGACATCGTTTGTCTCTGCACCAGTCTTATATTGTGTTGACTTTTCTAAGACATTTTTTATGGAAACAGATGCATCAGATTTTGCCTTGGGTGCAGTTTTATCACAAATGGGATCAGATGACAAACTTCATCTGATAGCTTTTCATTCAAGAAAATTCTCAGCAGCCGAGATCAATTATGAGATCCACGATAAAAAACTTCTTGCGATCGTGGATTCCTTTCAAGAATGGCATCATTATCTAGAAGGCGCTTCTAGTCTAGTCACTGTGTATACAGATCATAAGAACCTCGAGTATTTCATGTCAGCATGCGTATTAAATCGTCGTCAAGCTTGTTGGAGTATGTCTTTGTCAAGATTCGAGTTCATTATCACTTATTGGCCAGGAAAACAACAAGGTTTGTCCGATGCCCTATCTAGACGTTCTTATTTTGCACCAAAAGAAGGAGATGCAGCTTTTGAGCAACAAAGAATGGTCCTCTTGAAACCGGAGCAATTTCATCTCTGAGCAATGAAATCAACATTGATTGTTGATTCAACTTTTCTCAAGCAAATCCAATCCAGTATGTCCTCAGACCCTCTTGTTCATGATATCGAGAATAATTCTTCCAAGTCTCATGATCCTTCTAAGTTCGAGTTCAAGAATAATCTATTATATTTTGAAGGACGCCTATATGTTCCAGAAGGAGAAGCACGTTTACGTGTTCTTCAAGCACGTCATGACTTTCCAGCAGCAGAACACTTTGGATATAATAAGACTTTGGAACTCATATCAAGAGATTTTTGGTGGCCACAAATGTAGAAGTCAATCAAAGACTTTGTACAATCATGTGATATTTGTTCAAGATCAAAAATTCCTCGTCATCAACCTTGTGGACTTTTTCAGCCATTACCTATACCAGAACAACCATGGTCTTCTGTTTCTATGGATTTCATCACAGATCTTCCAAGCTCAAAATCTTATGATTCTATATTTGTGATAGTAGATCGTTTCACCAAGATGGCACACTTTGTGCCATGTACAAAATCTATCACAAGTGAAGAAACAGCTAAGCTTTTCATTGATAATATCTATCGCTATCATGGATTACCTAAAGATATCATATCGGATAGGGGAACTCAATTTGTGTCAAGATTTTGGAGGACCTTTTTTAAGATTTTAAAAGTAGACATAAAGCTATCTTCGGCTTTCCATCCTCAAACTGATGGACAAACAGAGCGCGTAAATCAAGTCTTAGAGCAGTATTTAAGGTGTACTATCAACTACCAACAAGATGATTGGATAACCCTTCTGTCATTGGCAGAGTTTGCTTATAATAATACGGTACATTCTTCCACGCAACAAACACCTTTCTTTTCCAATTATGGCTATCATCCGCGACTTGATACTTTTGATTTTTCAAAAGTTGATAATCTTGCAGCAGAAGATATGGCAAATCGGTTGTCAGAGTTACATGCAATAATGAGGACACAATTGAAGGAAGCTCAAGAACGACAAAAGATAAACGCAGATCTATATCGTAAGGAGCAACCACAACTCAACGTGGGTGATAAGGTATGGCTACTTCGTTGCAATATCAAGACTACTCGACCTTGTGACAAGTTGGACTATCATAGGCTTGGCCCCTTTTCTGTTTCTGAACAGATCAACCCAATTGCATATCGATTACATCTACCGGAGTCAATGAAGATCCATCTTGTATTCCACGTGTCTTTTCTTGAACATATAAGACAGTGGATATACAAGGAAGAAGACAAATGCCACCGCCTCCTATAGAAGTAGATAATAATGAAGAATTTGTGGTAGAAGAGATATTAGACTCAAGGCGGCGCCGAAATAAGCTGGAATATCTTGTTCATTGGCGCGGATATGATATTAGTGAACGCACATGGGAGCCATCCAGGAATCTAGCAAATGCATTAGCTAAAGTCAAAGTTTTTCATCAACGACATCCATCAAAATCAAGATGAAAATCTCTCTTATAAAAGAGACAAGATTGAGGCAAGATAACATTCAATTTTCTATCCTTGTTTGTAACTTCTTTGCATTTGTGACGCTAATTAGATGGAGAGCCAACAACCAGTGGATTCAACTCAAGAACCTTCGTTTGTTGACTTACCGGATGAGACATTGCGATTATCACAACCTTCAAGATGACGCAACCGAGATGAAGACCTTCAAGAACGACATGTTCTTCCTCAAATAGATGGTGAGATACAACGCGTTTGGTATCACGATTTGGGAAGGGACTCCCGATGTTTGGTGATTTTGCTGGAGGTAGGAACAACTCCTGATGGTGTTCCAAATATTCTATTCAAAGGAAGTTACGAAGGCCTCAACAATGATCAAATAACTGAGTGGTCTTCCCGCCCTCGTATGGGACACTACCGATGGTTGAGAGGCCCTATCAATCATCTTCGAAGAGAACAGAGATCAGAGTATGTGGCGAATACAATTCGTCACATCATAGATTTTCTCAACATATGATGACCGCTCCTCGTGGAACTCGTCCCTAGAAGGGGAGGTAATGTTACGGCCATAATCATGTAAGCTAATAATTACATATAGAAATAGGTAGAAGTAAGTAAAAGTAGATAAAAGTAAATTAATTCTATAATATTTAATATGAAAGCTTTCTAGAAACTTTCTAGACACTGCTTTGACTTCATAGGTGTCTTTAATTGACTTTTTGGATTAGAAACGTGGTCAACAAGTTCGCCATGTGCCACAAATGTTGTTAGCTTGAAGATCAAGCTAACTATGTGGCCCACACGAAGAAAAACTTGCCTTGTAAGTCAAGGCATGTGCCCTACAAAGTCAACACCTATTGGAGGTCCTATAGAACGTCGCCACTTAGCTCTTAGTTAGATAGTATATATAGAGACAAGAGTGAAGGCTTCTTCACTCTTGTCAACTCCTTTCTTGCTTCTAGTCTAGTTTCAAGGGTCTCTAGTTTTCTTGTCTTTTGGCAATATCCATTCCAGTTTCTCTTTCAATATATATATTTGTTTATTTACCTTTCTTTGAGTGAAGGCTCACTTGTCTGAATTGTTTTTCATCGAGTTCTTGTCCTTGACAAGAGGAGAGAATTAGGATGGAGGATGGGAGATACAATGATGGTTTTGATGGATAGATCAATTTAACCACTATTAGGGTCAATTTTATATTTTTCTAAAATTATTTATTTATATAAAATTTGACTAAAGTAGGCTTTTATATTAATTAGTTTTCAAAGCTAATTTTTTTAATAAGTAGAGATATATTTGAATTTGTACTTAAATAATAATATTACTTAAATTTATTTATATATAATATATTATTTAATTTAGACTATTTTATTTAAATACTTTAATAATAGATATAATAATTTTTAATTGATACAAATACTAAAATTAAATGATAATACAAGTATATGTTAGAAAATTAATTTTGAATATTAATTTTGATTGCTATTATATATATTTTTATATATTTATTTATATATATTAAAAATATAAATAATATTTTATAATTTTTTAATAATATATACTTAAGTTTGACATCATTTTATGATTAAGAAAAAATAAGAGTTTTAATTTTTTATTTGACATTAGAAAATTCTTGATGTATTATAATGAAATATGATACCTCTAACAAAACTATCATATTAGAAGCTTCTATCACTTCTATAGCTATTGTAATTGATTTTTCTTGTTCTTTTCTATTTTATTGAGAAGATACCAAAAGAAGTTCTTAGAAGATTATTAAAAGCATTCTTATTGTATTTTATGTAACTATTGTATAAAATAAAATATGATAAAAAATAATAAAATAATTTACATTAATTTTAATGAAAACATGAGCTTAGCTTGTAAGAAGTGTGATGTATATGAGTATGACGTTGTAGATGATTATCTATTGCATAACATTTGAAAACAAGGTTGTCCTTCTACTAGTTGTTTCTTTAGCTTAAATATGCATTTAGAAAACAACAAATGGAGGGATTTATTTACTTTGAATCTTCCGAAAAAAATCAATAAGAGCAATGTGCTATATCTTCAAAATTAATGAATGTGACATAACACATAATATTCTTGTTGCTATCTTTTTTTATTGCAAACAAAACATGTTCCTTGTTTATGAAACAACAGTATCATCAGCTAGAGTCATGACACATTAATCCGTAACAAACCTACGAGTCTTGGATTAGTCCATGTACTTGATCAGCCCATGGACAAAGAGAGATGTTAATTCACAATAAATCATCCCCAAGTGGCAATATTAGCTTGATACCTATCCTATCCTGCTCGTCGCCTGTCGCTCAAAGATGACGTGGAATCCACGTGACACCCTTTGATTGGACGTGATGCTACTCTGTTCAGTGAGATGAACCATCCGTTGCGGAGCTTCGAAGAGAATGTGACCATCTGATTCAGAACTTGTTCCGTTCTTTGAATATGCTCTTGATGGGTAGCGAAACGTGCCGCTGGTTGGTCCATTCGTTAAAGAATATTCAAGTCTCCATGTGATCTGTTCTGTTGAGCCTCCACTACAGCCTTCAAAGTAGTGAAATAAAGGTCGACGCTGATGACAAATTAAACCTCAAGCCCTTCACCCTCAACATGACTCCTGGACGGGAGGTTGACTTTCTGTGATAAGATATTTATGCAGTTCTAAATGTAGAAGTGGAATCAGAGTTGACTGCTGTAAAGTTTTTAGATAATTCATACACCAGCTCAAGTTATGACAGATCTGTGTGAGAAAAATGCAAAAAAGAATAATTAAAGATAGAACAAGAATCACAGGCTTTGAGTCGGCTGATTTCGTATTGGTTTAGTGCTAAGTTATGCTGCCTTAACTTTTTCACCAGCTGCCTCTACTGCGACAGAATCTACTTTCGAACTGTTCACTGATGCACCGTCACCTTTTGTAACTGCAGAGCTGGACTCACCATCCTTTGGTAGCAGCACTCTGCCGACCTCCTGCAAACAAAATGCAATTTGTGCCAGTTACGAGAGTAGAGAGTTCATTGAATATAACGTTACTGATCAATTGAGACCCATTTATTTACACCAGCTCCATCTGCAAGAACTGATGCAGCATCAAGCCAATCAACTAAGTAATGTACCACAAATACATTGTTTCTGAGGCTGAGAAATTAAACTTCACTAACAAGACAAAGTGAAATTCAGAGATTGAGTACCTTGATCTCGTCAACAAACTCCTTTGGAGCAATCTTGGTGTCTAGGAAAGTTTGAATCTCTTTGACGGTCTTTTCTCTATCCTGCAAGCCATACCGCATCCCACATTCAGTATATAAGAGAGAAAAAATTCAACTGCTCGAATTAATGTGTGCCACAGTTAATTTTGATCGTCACCTGGCTAATGAGCATAGCAAACTCTCCCAGAAGTTGAAGCTTACAACTCACCTCCGCAAACATGAACTTTTTAAAGAATATCTGCACAAATGCGGCTGACCCTAACAACTGCAGAACAGTCTCTGCCTGTATCACAAATAAGCCCACATATCACTTGTAAGTAAGAATATTGCCAAAGTGTTTTAAGACTTGTGACGATAATAGATTCAATTACTTCGAAACTGAGATTGGTTAGAATCTTTTTACCTCAGTGAAGACGGCAACACCAATTCCTGCAGCAGCGGCTGCTCCTAGAGTTGTCGGCACAAGGCTAGGGTCCTGCAAAAAGTGTCCAAGGTCCGAAATAAGAAAGTGTTTTGCAGGACAACTTCCGTGCTACCGGATTGACAAGGAAGTGGAATGTGAGGCACTGGAACATGAAACACAAGTTCAGTCTGGAGCATTACCGCGTTGCCAGAAAGAAGATCCTTCAAACCGCTGAGGTCAAGACTGAAACCCTTCCTCGGCAACTGCCACGGCAATTCACTGCTCTGCAAGCTCAAGAAGAACGTCGATTTGTCAATCAGGAGACACATCAAATTGGAGTAGCTGGCCAGCAATCAACAGTTATGATAGATGCATAGTGGTGTAACCGGAAAGTGAGAATTCAAATAGATTTACCAGCCATCCTTTGGGGCCTTCTACGCCTCCTTTGATGGAGTACGCCTTCTCGAAGCCATTGTTAGCGAGAATCTTTGCAACTGCAAGAGAATTTCCGTCCAATCTATGCCCATGGAAAATCCAGAGAGTACATAAGCACGATGCAGCGTTCACATCAATAAGATGATGAGTTGAAGTTACTCTAAACTGAAACCACATGATAGGAACAGGAAGAAAATCATTATTAAGTGTACAGCGTGGATCATACCCCAACATTAAGGCACATCGCGCTGGAAATTAGATTTGCGGTGAGCGGAACTAAAGACCTGAACTCGAAATAATAGTCATTCCCTAGATACGGATCAAATTAGTATTAAGCACTTACTGGTCCAAAATGTAGACAGTGGTATTCTCGGCGTCGCGGTATTTGGCAAAAACCTTGTCTAGGAAGGAATCATCCGCAGCTGTGTACGGCACCTGCACGGCTTTCTTCCTGAGAGATTTAAGGTTAGGGGTACCTTCTGATTTGATATCTTCTGGTGCGCGAATATCCAAAAGCTGCGCATTCTGCTCCGGGTCAGAGAGCTTGGTGAAGGCCTCAAGGGCTGACACTGAACCAAAGTTTTGCGGGGCTGCAGACGCCCGGAATGCGATCAAGGGTACAGCGACAGCTGCGAGGCCAGCAAGTGCCGCCACGGGGTTGGAGCTCATGAAATCAGTTGCAGCATCGAAATCAATGATGTCGGGAACATCAAAAGAGAAAGAGTCGGCCGCGGAGGTCGCAGATGCTGCTGCATTGCTACCCCCTTTCACAAATTCGTCGTAATTCAACGCTAACCCCGCCGGAACGGAGGCTATGACAGACACGGTGGATGCTAAGAGAGAACCCACAAATGCATGAGGCCGTCGAGAGACAGCAACGAACAGAGAAGAGGATGATTGGCCCACTTGCGCATGGGTAGGCGAAGAGGAGCCCTCCGAAATAGAGCAAGTAGGAGCAGCAAACTTAACTCTGGAGAGAACCTCCATGGCTACGGCAGAATGGAGTTAGCTACAAAATATTACAATTAGCTGCAATCCCGGCCTGCTTACGCCTAGCCTAACCCACTCCGCGAAAAAGAATCTTACATACAGCACATCTCAGAAAAGACTTTCGCAAGCATAGCAAATCGACCCGATTGATTGTCTGCACACTCCGAAACTCTGACTGCTGATGAGTCGAACAGAGGAAGTCTTGTTGTACTGCAGGGAGGAGAAAGGATGGCAAGCGGAAGCGGAGCACCGACGACCAGGCATGCTTTATCCATTCCCTGTGGCATATCTTGCTTGATTCCTACGTGGCGCCTTTCCTCGTCTTCATGTTACCGAGAAATCTGTAGGTCTCTGAGGTTTTCCGCTTTTAGGGTTTCGGATGTCTCGAACGTGCTATGTCCTCGCCATTGATTAATCACAATGCTTTGTGGAGTGTTACAGCATGTTGGTGAGCAAACGATTGTCTTTACATCAGTTACGCCCAACGTTCAACCATGAGGATCAGCTTCCTGTTGTGCGACATTGTTGTATTGCACATCTTGTTTAAGGTGCTTTAGTTTAATTACACCAGTACTGATGAACGCAAATGTTGGGAATTTTGCAGCAATCTTGCTTGGGGCATGAATTTCGCTCCGCTTCTTAACTGCACCAGTCCTGAGGGCTACTGTGACGATGATAGTAACACTTCCGTTTGCAGAGGATTTTTGGCATTGACGAAATTTCTCCGCCTCAGCCATCGCTGCTGCGCAGTTGAGGCGCTCTTGCAACTGGACGTATCAATCCTATCAGAAAATCTGCCTCAATTCCAGGACTGATGTGCGTTGGGTGCAGTTCTTTAGAAGTTTTCCTGCTCGTAATCCTTGCAGACAATGCGTAATTTAGTAGTCGTTTAGTGCAGGTGATGTCGTGGCTTAGGATGTTCATCACTTGTGAAGCGACCAAAATCTCACAATGCCAACGATTAGACCAGATTCGGGCGAGACCCGAGTCATAGCCCGTCGTGATCCTTCTCACAAGGCCTGTGTGGATCCCCTCTCTGATTGCCTTCATTATATCCCTAGCTGTGCTCCGTGACATGAACATATATTTCGATTCCCCCCGATCATCAATTTATGCAGATTTGGTCTTTGCGAAAACCTACTGGGCACCCCATCTAATCACGCATTGCTTGCAATAGCTCGCAACCCCATTTGTCTCTTTTAGTATTGGTCCTTCCAATGACTGTTTCATGATTCGAGGTGTCTTTCTTAGAAGCTCTAATTCCCCTAGTATTCTCTTGCGAGGAACTTACGCTGAAGCTGCGTATCGCTGTAGCGCGGAGGTATTTGCGAGTTGTGCTGGAACTCACTGAATCACTGGCTATCAAGTTGATCAAGGATCTTTTATGGACGTTTTACTTACTTTGAGACAGATCTAATCAAGTTCTTATATATTTATGATCTGTGATGGCAACTGTCGAATTTTTGCTGAGCATGATGTGCTTGATACACCGCAGCCTTTAGTGACTCAAAGCGAGTGATCGTGTCGCTGGTAAACAATGACATGAGGCTTGATGGGAGATTAGTTTCTCATTGGTGATCTATTCGACACATGAATGCGAAAATGAAATGCAAGCAGGTGAGTGCCAATATGATTCTTCCTGGTTTGATATACTGCTAGCATGTGGAGCTGGAATTGCTGTTAAGCTTGACGCAACAGCTTGGGCTTTTGCAAACTGTAGTGCAGAACTAGAAACGAATGCATATGTTCCTGTTAGAGGCTCATTCGTAAGTCCTGTGCAATTTTAGGTAGAAGATGTTTTTGGATGATATGGAATTGGGCAATAGATCTGACCTGACCAAGAATGCAGGTCTATATATTTCATTTACCACCACCACCAGTCGATACAAGACCCTGGCAACACCTGGCAGAGTAGCGAGTTGCATACCTTGTAAGACAGATACACCAACAAGGTTAACTTGTGGGAGCATCTAAGTAGATTATCTGCTTAAACCAGTGTTGGAGCTGGTGTGATCAAATGTCTACTATTTCTAATCCCATGTACTAGGTATGTGTTCTCTCTTCATTCCGCTGTCAGTGTGAATATGTGACTAATGTTGCCTCCCTCGGTTGATTTGTGTTTTAGTCGGAATGTTATGCTCTGTGATCAAGGACTGTTTTGATTTTAGATATACTTTGCTAACAAACATTGTCATACAGCATTGTTTTGAGTAACCTTTATAACCATAAATCTTCAAAACTCATATGCATTTAATGAAAATTTTAAGCCTGTGCATAAAGTAGCCAAGGACCAAATTTTATTTTCAATGCAAGTTTGATCTTTTACATTCATTATGTTTTTTACTTTTAATTTTTATTCAATTTTGTAACCTTTATAATTGGAATTGATATTCTAATAATTTTGTAAAACACAAACAAAATATATAAACGATGTAGAACAGAGCAAAGAAAAAATATTACTTATTAGTCCATTATAATATTTGCAAATTCTTGTGTTTTGAAATTCATTGATATATTTAGATAATTGTAGAAAAAGAAGAAATAAATGAATAAAAATGAAAATTTTACTCTACTTTTATAAATGTGAGGATTATTTCTTAGAGAGAAAAACTTGGTATAATAAATTCATTGATAGAAGAAAAACAAGGAACAAAAAAATAACTTCACTTCTAGTATTTAAAAATGTAAAGTTAGTATTGTAATTATGTGTTGTTATTATTGTTATTTACTCAATTACATTTACTCAATAATCAATTTCATTTGATTATTTTATGTGTTTTAAAATCAATTAAGTGTTTTTATCATCCTTAATTTGTCTCATTTTTTGAGGAGACGTGTTTCATATTCAAGATTTTTTTCAAGTTCCTTCTTTAAGGTAGTCCAATTAATTTGTTTGTAATTTATTAAACCACTCCAAATCCTACTTCTAATAGAAATGTCATTTTATACTCTTTGTTCAAAGATAAGTTTTTGTTTTGTTTTGTTTTTTTTTTTTTTCGATCTAGATAGTTCATTAGTAGAGTTTATTTAATAGTAATCAAATCTAATTGAAGCATGTAAATTAAGAAGGGATATTTTTTGCAAAGATGGCTGTTTTTTTTTGAGGATGTTTTCTATGGCCTTCATTTCTAAAAATTTAATAATAATCTATATAGAATGAGTTGGATTGATTTTTTAGGCTATTCTAATAAGTTTTAGAAAGTTGGCTATTTGATTCTTGTTGTCATTAGAGTGTTGTTTCATTTAATCAAAGGATAGATTTTCATTGTAGTAGAGAATTCTTCATTGGTTATACGTACAAAATATTAGATACATATATATATATATATATATATATATACCTTGTTAGAATGTAGCATTTCATATTCTAAAAAAATAGTAATTTAAAAAAGTTTATAAATGATCAATGTCTTATGCGAGTCTGTATTTTGATCTTTAATTTCATTTAAAGTTGAAGATTGTAGAAGAGCTTTAAATATGTCTTTGTATCTTTAAAGGCAATTCAAGTGTAGAGTTGTTGCTTCTTAAGAATTTAAGTGAGAGTCAATGAGAGAGAATTTTATATCCCATTATGAAATCTTTTATAAACTTTATAAAAAGAAGAGGTAGGATTTATATGTAAGTGTAGATACATCTATATGTATAACTTACCAATTATATTTTAGATTTATAAACCAAAGTTCTATTTGTATTTTAGAAAGATCATTCAAGTATAATCTAAAAACCATTGTCTTAATATTATAAATTTAGAATTCAACGTTTTGTATTTGAAGAATTCATAAATTTTAGTATATGAAGGTTGTACATCCCTACAATTATTCAATAGAAAGAGTTTTGATGGCATTCTTTAGATTTATCAAACCAAAGCCACTTTTAGCTTAAGCTTTATAATATATATGCAAAGTTATTTTGGCTTCTATTTCAAAAGATGTCTTTTTTTATAAGATGTTTCTATTCAAAGATTTAATTTTACAACTTGCTTTCATAGAATAAGTCCAAATAGAAAATAAGAAATATATAAATAGTAATAAAATGGTAACAAAAATAGTAACTTTATCTATTATACTTAATTTAATAAAATACTAATATTTTATTTTATAAGTCATACTATCAATTAAAAATTGATCAATATTAAGTATATATATATGTATATATATATATAAGCAAAAATGGATGCTTAATAACTTATTAGTTTTATTATAAGATATCTAAGCCTCTACAAAATAATTGGTCTATGCAAACATATTGATTTTGTTTTAGATTACCAATATACTATTAATTTTGACTACATAATTTTTAAGTCCAAATCTAAATTAAGATAAATGATGGTTTTGTCAATGTACATTTGTTATCTTCTAGTTTAATATCTTTTAATATTAATGGTTGAATCACCTGCATATTAATGTATAAATTGTTGATTGTGACTCCAAAGAATACTAACATAATAATATACTATTTTTTTTTTAAATGCATGGATGTTTTTATTTAGACAAAGTACTGCAAGTAATCTCAGAGGTTTTAATGTACGTCAAAGTTGTTTTGACGTGATTTGATTGAACATATCAAACAACCATGGACAACAATATTAGTATTAATAATTTTTTAAAAGAATAAAAAAAAAAGAAAAAAATAAATAAAAAAAAAATTAATTAAATTTGATAATGACTTATAGCAAAGCTTTTTAGAAGCTTTATAGATAGATATTTAACTTTATAAGTATTTGTAAGAAATTAATAGATTAAAAACTTTATCAATAAGTTGGCTATGTGTTGTACATATAAAAAAAAATTCTTACAAATTAGACACATAGCGTTATAATAAGGCTAATAAGTAAAAAAAAAAAAATTAAAAAATTAAAAATATTATATTATAAAAAAAATTAAAAATATTGTATTATAAAAAAATATAAATAAAAGTATTGTAGCAAATTATCCTCTATTAATAGGAAAGTAGTAAAAATTAATAAATATTTATATTTCTTTTTTTTAAATAAATTTTTGTTTACTTTGAAGGACCATAAATGAAGTAAATCAAAGTACATAAGAAAGATAATTGATATGGACATCTTGAAGAAAGAATTAAGAGTAGTTTTTAGCAAAAATTACATTTAAAAATTAAAAATTGATACCAAAAGACGACTATTTATGAACTTAGGTCAAAATCAGACCTTGGGGCATAAAATTGCTTATCTACAACAATTCTATGGTTATTCGATTGATTGGAGAATAGAATTTGAAAACAATCTTAAAAAAAGATCTTTAGGCATCAATTTTTAGTGATTTGAGTTTGTATTGACTATATAAAGACTTTATAAAGTATGTCAAAGTGTATAAATAAATATAAAAATAGAATAAGTAATATTGTAAAGAATATTACTATAGATAAGTTATTATTGATTAAAATATTGACTCTTGATATGTAAAAAGGCTAAGAGATAAAATAGATGAATAGACCAAAAAACTTAAGAATATAAAAAATATGCTAAAGGTATATTTTTATAGTAGATAAAATAATAATGGATAGTCTAAGTAGAGTATTGGATGGATGTATTCATTAAAAGATGGAAGTTGTCTATTAGAGTAGCAGCCACTGCCTATAAATAATGGATGTTGGGATGAAAAATATCTTAGTTCATATACTCTTTGCATGCAACCTTGCTGATGCTAAGTATTATAACTTTATAGTGTTTATTTTTTAATAGGTTATAGATCCATTCACCTTTAATTGTGAGTTTTGAAGTTCTTTGAAGTCTTACTTGTTGTAGAGAATAGATCTTTTGATTGTTGCTGATGTTAGATTTTGATATCATCTAATTCCATTGTTGCATCTAATTGTTGATATAGTTTTGCTCTTACTTATTATTAAGTACATTGAAAATTTTGTAGGTTATTACATACCTTAGAATGATATTTTAAAATATTAATTTTATATTTTTTTGCTAATTTACATCATTTGTGATCTAATATTGTGGTTTTATGTGATAACTTTCCTTAAAACCCTCTTATAATGATAAGAAGTATTTTATAAAATTAAAAGTATTTTATGAAAGAAGAAGGATGATTAAGAAGTGGAAAAGCTTATAAAAGAGGTTAAAATAGAATATAAGACTTGTAAAAAGTCTTATAAGTGAAATTGAAAGTAATTTAAGAGTGATATCACCAATTCACTCACAAAGAAGGCATTCTAGGTTTTTAAGGCAACAATACCTTCTTGTTGATTTTGAAAGCTCTTTCTTTTCTTTTCTTGATTTTTTTTGATATATCTTTTTTTTAGACATGGCTTTAAATGAGGGTAAAGATTTGAGAGTGATTGAAAAGTTAAGGAGTAATAACTTCTACCATTGGAAGAAAAAAATTAAGCTTTTCTTGACTTCATTGGATGATTGGGACATTGTGAATGAAAGTGAAGAGCTTCTTAGTGACGATGTTGATGTCAAGGTAAAAAAAGAATAAAAATATTGTAAAAAGAAGGCTTTTGGCATAATTGCATCAAATTTGGATGATGCCAATTTTTCACATGTCATTGCTTGTAATGGACCAACAAAAGCATAGAAGATTCTTTCTAATATTTATGAGAATAGAAACCTTACCAACATTCTCTAGACAAGGAAGAAATTCTTAATGATAAAAATAGAAGAAAGAAATGACTTCATAGCTCATATCAATAAGGTAAAAGTAGTGCAAAACAACTAGTAGTTGTTGACAAGCCAATTGATGATAAGGACATTGTATTGATATTACTCATGAACCTTTTCAAGTCTTACAACTATCTCATTGTGGCATTGGAGTCTATCAACATGAACGAGCTTACCATAAATTATGTCATTTCAAGACTTACCTATAAAATAACCAAAAATAAAAAAAAATGAGCTTTAAAGTGATGATTTGGCTCTATTTTTAAGATAAGATAAATATAGCTATTTTTATTAATATAATAATTCAAAAAAAAATATGACAAATTACTATATTTGTGGAAAATCATGTCACTTTGTTAAGAATTGCTACAAAGTCAAGAAAGGAGATAGAAAGAATATAAAAAATAACTTTGATTGAGATGACTATACTTTCATCACAAATGAAGAAGCCTCTATGGCCGCTATGTCCAAGTAGGTTATAGATTTGGGTGCTACTAAGCACATGATATCATACAAGTATTTATTTGATACTTATGTAAAAATTTCAGCAACCAAAATTTGGTTGGGAGATAATGACATGGTACAAGCCATTGGAATTGGATTCATTATTGTAGAAATTGTTGTAAAGAATCAAATTAAGAAGATTAGGTTGAAGGAAGTCTTGTATGTGTTAAAAATGAAGAAGAACTTCTTTTTAGTGAGCAAACTTCTATCACATGGTTGTAAGGTTCAATTTGATAAGAATGGATATTTTGTGAAGACATTAAGTAGACAACATGTTGCCAAAGGTCTTAAAAATAGCAACCTTTACTTTATCAATTGTAAGAAGGTGAATATAATAAAAGTGACAACATTTACTAATTTTCCACAAGATAAAGGTAAATTTGAAATTTGGCATCAACAACTTAATCATTTGAATGTTAAAAGTATGAAAGAGCTGTAATTTGTGATAAGTGGCTTAGATCTTAGTTAATTCAATGACAATACCTTTACACTTGTTTATGAAGGATGTATATAAGATAAATAACAAAAGACTTCATTTCTAAGAGGATTTTAGGATTTAGGATTTAATGTTTACTTATATAAAAAAAAAATTGGAGTTTATATATTCTAATATTTGTAAACCAATGAAAAAACCATCAATTGGAGGAGCAAGATATTTTATCATATTTATTGATGATTTTTTAAGAAAAATATGGATTTACATCATTAAAGCTAAAAATGAATGTTTTTTAAGGTATAAGGAATTTAAGGCTCTTCTAAAAAATAAATTAAGTGTAAGCTCAACGTATTATGTATGGATAATAGGACTAAGTATATGTCAAAATATTTTAATAAATTCTTTAATATTTAAAGTATTGTAAGATAATTTTCTACTTTCTACACTCTATAACAAAATGAAGTTACTGGAAGAGCAAATTATACCATTTTAGAGACGCCAAGGAGTATGCTTCCTGTACAAAATCTTGGGCATGAATATTAAATAGAAGCAATGATAAATGTAGTGTACATAAAGAATAGGTACCCAACAAGTGCACTCATATCAATGACTCTACAAGAAGCTTGGAGTGGCAAAAAACCTTGTGTTTTATGTATGAGGATATTTGAATGCATTGCCTATGCAAAAGTACTAGATTATATGAAGTCCAAACTTGATGCAAAAGATATAAAATATGTATTTCTTGGATATTGTAAAGATACCAATACAAATACACTAATGTATTTAGAAACCAAAAAACTCATCAAGAGTTATAATATAGAGTTTTTGGAGCATAAGAGTGCTTAAGAAAACTTGGAGATGTATCCAAGTAGGAGAATGGTGTATTTATAGACACATCTT